ATGATTCATACATAATTTATTATTATAATCTATCTATCTATATCTATATCTATACTATTATAAAAGTGTAAAGAATTTCTTAACAATTTTGATTTTTTTTTTTTTTTTTTTTTTTTTTGTGTATTTACGTTTAAACCACTTTAATAGCACTTCAATGACATAAAAAAATATTATTCTAAAAGTGATTCACAACACATAATATGATTCATCCATAGTTTATTATTATAATCTATCTATCTATATCTATAGTATTATAAAAGTGTAGAGAATTTCTTAAAAATTTTGATTTTTTTTTTTTTTAGTGTATATACATTTAAACCACTTTAATAACACTTTAATGACATAAAAAAATATTATTCTAAAAGTGATTCACAACACATAATATGATTCATCCATAGTTTATTATTATAAATAAAAAATAAGAAAAATAAAATAAAATAAACGCACAGTCAAAACATTTATGTACTATTAATAGTATAGATAAGAATATATAAATGTATATATGAGATGATATTAATGAAAAAAAAAATATTCATAACAAAAAAATTCAATATTCAGTTTTAAATTTTATTAAAACTGTATTATTTTTATTTTGATACTTGAAATCTCCAAGGTATTTCTTAACTTCTTTTTTTTTTTATTTTTTCACTTTACATTAAATCCAATTTCATTAAAAAATATTAGTGGACACTAATTACTTGAATTTCATTTCATTTTGTTAATGGTTGATAACCTTTAGGATTTTCAACCTAAAAAAATGTCATTAAAAGTGGACTACAAAATATCCTTTGGAATTTTCAACCTTAAATTTCATTAAAAGTTTATTATTTTCATGTTTAATACAAAACTTTTGTAACTCTTGAAATTTCCAACCTTGAATAGTATTTGATGTCTTTTAAAATTTTGAACAATAACATAAAGGTCTATTATATATATAGAGGTAAAAATTACAAGATCAAGCTCTAATATTGAGGGAGCAGCAAGATTAGAGGTCAACAAGAGCATTACGAGTAGGGATCACAAGAAGAAGTAGTATCAATGAGCATTTTTCGTCAATTAACTTTGGTAGTGAGGAAGAGAATTCATGTGCAACAAATTAAGAGCATCAATTAGCTTGGTTAAGTTATTTGCTTGTTTTGAATCCTCTACTCAGTTAACTCATAGTAATGAATTCATATTAAATTGATTTAATATTAGGCGTAGTGATGATCAAAGGATTATTAGGTTTTATTCAACAAATTAACAATTATTGAGTTTTTTTGTACTCATGTAGAAGTACTTATTTGAATATGAGTATTTTGTTGCATTCTTCTTTTGGATTACATGTCCTTTTTTTTTTTGTGTAATGAGGACTTGAGTTTGGCGCGCTGTATATGTTATCCAAAACCTTCAATTATTTTGATTTTCATTTGATTTGAATTTGTCAATTCAATTTTAAAACATATTTGCTTAATCTTCCTTAGTCCCCTTTTTTGAAAAATTTAGATTGTATTTGTATGTCAATTTGTGTCTGTGAGTTTTGCATTGCTATTTTTTCTTTTTTCTTTTTCTAGTGTATTTGTTTTTATGTGTATATGAATACGTACGTGCTTACTCCATGTCACCATCCTTTATCGTGCCAACAGGTATCACGAATTTTTTAATAATTAAAATTTACAAAAATAAAACACCTTATTTATTATTTTTTTAATTCAAAATTTTATTTTATCATATTAGTGCCCGACTCCGCCACTGATTTTCTATTTTGGTTATCCAGTCGATTTTCTAAAATCCATTCTTGGCCAACCTGTGTTGTAAAATTAAATTCTGTTGGTCACTCACCCTAATTCTTATTTTTACTCTTCTTCTCATTAAATTTTACTTCTCCAGTAATTTAGGTTAGGAAGACTTAGAGAGTACATGGGACATTTTTGTCATTCTGAGATAGACAAGGTGAGAGTAGTCAATTATTACAACTAAAAGGAGAATACAATGTTGTTTTCAGGCATGGCTTGCTTTCAAATGTAAAATTTAACTATCCTATGATGAAAAAGATAAGAAAGAAAAGGACACCTCAGAAATGACAAAAATGGAAAATGATGTGTAACTGTTCGGTGCATTTGGTAGCCAGAAAAGAGTAGAGGGGAAAACATTAAATAAAAATAATCGAAACTATTTCATTTTATTATCAAAGGCAGTAACGGGTGTTTTATTATTTAACATTTTCCATTAAGCAGAGGTTTTGGCATCACTTTTCATATAGAGGTGGTCAGGGACTGATAGGCTCAGTGGGTCCGTTCTCACTGAAATTTTTTGTTTTTGTATTTTATATTCTTGAATTTTTAATTTTTTGCATTTATATTTTCCAAGTATAATTTTTTTTGCATTTATTTTTTTTGCAAGTACTAAAGCATAATACATAAAAGAGTACAAATTAGTGAAGATTTGAACACCAGTAATTAAAAGTGGGTATATGTTTTGAGTTGTTGAGTTTTTATTTGATATTTGTTTTGTTAAAAGCCTGTTAAAATAATTTGATATTTTCTTTCAAACACTATAGTTCTAAGAATTTGGTTTGTGATTATTTTCCTTCTCCCTCAATAACTCCAATTTTGGAGACTTTTTAATTTCCCGGTTTGAGAGAAAAGAGGTAGCACAATCCTTTTTCTTTTTCTTTTTCTTTTTTTATCTTTTCTTTTCTTTTCTTTTTTGCTTATACCATATGAGAAACCTATTTTTTTTTTTTTTAAGTCCGACCTAGCTTATCAGGTCATATTCGAAGAATTTTCACAATTTTTTCTTGATGTTCCTATCCTTCGAGTAGTTATTGCGAAGTACCCATGGTTTAAATGGGCCAATTCTATGTTTTCTTTGTAAAATACTCCTATGATAGAGAGTCAAGTTCTGTTTGAAATGGAAAGGAAAAAAAATCTTATTATTATAAAATTCTAATTACCATAATTTATCTGGATATGAAATTCTCTGCACCTGGTTACACAGAACAGGCCCGACTTCTGCTATTAGCACCATAGCAAACAGTGGGCCCATGGTTGAAACGCACCATGTGATGATAGCAGTATTCAGCCCAGACCCAAGAAGTCCCTATAATATGTGACCCCACCCCGCCCCACCCCACCCATGTGGTATACATTAAAGAAATAGGAAGTAACATTAACCAAATAAATCAGTGGGAGTTTTGGACTTTTCCACTCCAAATTATTATTCATATTTTTTTAACTGTGACAAACACTCACATACTTATACTTCTTCGGAGAATTTGAAATCTTAATTTTTCACTTTAAAAGATACCGAATTATCACCAAATTTTAGTAATTGGTGGTCAAAAGATTACATTTGATGGATTAAGAAAAAGTTAATACTTGTGTCCAATTCAGATTGGATGAACTTTATCTGGTGACGTGGCCCAATTAATTTAAGACAAGTGTATAAAAATAAAGTTAAAATTTAGTTGGGTATTGTCTAACGGGTTTAAAATTATGACGTGGCCCAATTAATATTAGGTATATATGTCCTGCCGACAATTCTGTGTGCAAATATGTGTGTATAACGGTGCGTGATATAGGGTTTTGAGATTTGGGTGAAGGAGAAGAGGTAGAGAGAGAATGAGGAGGAAGAACAGGGAGAAGATAGGATTATTTTGGTCCCTTTAAAAATATTAGAGCAACGGGTCAAACCCGAATAATTGGGCAATACCAAAATTAATTTTAACTTTACTTCTAGACATTTGTTTAAATTGACTGAGCTACCGTCGCCAGATTGGATGAAGTCCAATCTGAATTGGACACAAGTATTGTCCTTAAGAAAATACTACGGTAGAAGATACAGCCCAAAGCCTGCTACATCATAGCTCTCATTTGGCCCAATCATTCTCAACACATGACATATACAACAGATTGGATTGCAGCCATTAGATTCGTCAAAAATGAGACTAGGAAAATGTTCAGGCTATCATCTGTAATATTGGCCTGCAAATAGAGTGGAGAACTGGGGCGTGCTTTGTGTCCCAGTTGGTGGGAAACTTCACGAGTTAGTGTGAGAGACTTGGTTCGAGCCGCCAACCCTCCCCTTTCCCAATCCTCTCTAACATCTAATCTAACCTCTAACCAATAAAAAATAAAAGTGTGCAAAACAAAAAGTGATGTGCGGACCAATTCCCTTCCCAATCGAAACCTGGCCCTATTTTTGCACATTGACAATTCTCTTTTTGTTGTCCGAGTTAGCTAGGGTTCGTTTCACAAGCTAAGGACAGTAACGCTCTCCCTGTTTCTTTAGTCACTCATTCTCTTTCATATATTTTATAATCTATTCTCTTGGAGGATTGAGATCGTACTCTCTCATTACATCAGGGAGACCGAGCGTTATTAACAACAATGACTTATAAAAATAGAACCATTTCTTAATTTTAATGTAAAAAGCTAAAAGCAAAAGTCTCACTTTGTTGCTTGGTCATTCTTCCTCTTTCATTTCTATTGCAATATGTTCCAGAACGATTGTGATCTAACTATCTCACAATAAAAGGGAAGACCGAGCGTCATTAGCAATGACTTAAAAAGGCATAACTGATGCTTGCTGGCTAAAGTAGCGAGCTAATAGTTAATAGAGAAAGAGCTAAGAGCAATAAGTCACACTTCATTTCTTAGTAATTCTCTCTCTTTTTATATCTTCTGTAATACATTATAGTAGATCCCATTCTCTGAGGGAGGACCAAGCATGGATCCAATGTCTAAATTTTTTTTCTTCTTATTTATTGACAAGAAATATACTCACATACCCACATGTTCTTATTAGAATTTGAACTACCTCTTCTTTGAAAGGCAAGAAAATACAACTAAACTACAATATTTGAAAGTATTTCTTACATAATGGTACACAACAGATAGTTCGCGTATTAACTAGTACAAATAATGCATTCAAATTTTAATAAACACAGATAGTGGAATAAGATTTTATATCTAATGCCTAATTGTTTAGTAAAAATTGAGTATGCAACCTTAGCCTTCTTAGACAAATTCAGGTCCTTCTAACCGCTCGGCATCGGCATCGGTAACGGCATCGGTATTGGCATTGGCATCGGCGTGGGCGGGCATTTCTCTGAGTTTTCCGCAAAGTAGCATCACTATGGTAATTATTATTATCACTATTGCTATCAAGCTGTAATTTTCAAAATTACATGTTAGTTTTAAAGATATTTATTTCCAGGGTTAGGAGAAAACATGAAAAATAAACAATATAATGCATTTCAATCCAATCTTATTGTCTGGTATGCAAAACAATATTCGCATTCATCTTTTCTTTTGCTTTTTTTCAACAAAATATAAATGAAATAACAAAATTGTCCTTTGAAAAAATTCCAAAAATATTCTTACACTCCACAGTAGAGTAAAGGATACCAAAAAAAAATTTAAAAAAAAAAAAATTAAAGGTAGAGTAAAGTAAAATTGTGTGTACCTTGTCAAATAAAGCTTCTCGTTCGGCAGCAAGGACCCAATTACTACCATTAGCATGAGGCTCATCGGACTAAATGCAGAAACAAATACTGGGTCCATTTTAGAAACACAAAATGTGATGATTGTTGTATTCACCCCAGACCCACAAACTCCCTACAAAACAAACCATTGTTACACATTAAACAAATAAAAGATCACAAATCAATTTTATTTTATTTTTTAAAGTAAGATCACAAATGATTGATTGTATAAATATAACCACAAAAAGTGCAGCCAAAAGTCTGATATCCCATCCCAGCTTCCAGTGGGCCCAATCCTTCTCCACACATAGGGCATATATAGTAGCCTGAATTGCACCCATTACATTGATCAAAGAGGGGATTAGTAAAATGCCCTTGGTATCATCCTCAATCTTCTTCTGCAATCAAAGTGAAGGAAGAAAACTATGATCATTAGTATGGTATTACGAGAGAGAGAGAGAGAGAAAAAAAAAAAAAAAAAAAAAAAAAAAAAAAAAAAAAAAAAAAGTGTAAGATCCTCTCGGTGCTCGCAGAGGGCCCAGAGGGATCGTGTACCCTACTAGGAGTTGATATTGGATCACAAGATGAGAACGATTCAAATTCTGAACCGATTTGAATTCGGTTAAAAAATTTAAAGCCATCCAAAAATGGACTTTGTACGTGCTCCATTTCAAGCTCTATGCTCGAGTATGAGCCAACTTAAAACGTACCCAAATCCAACAAAATCTTTGAATGGTCTCATAAATCATAATATTATTTAAAGAAAAGTAGTATTTACCTGAAGTATCAAGGAGATTGCGTTACACAGAGTGGCTATTACAACTAGACCTAATCCCAACACCAAATTGTGATTCTCTTCCATCTCATGTTTGACGTGGGAGAGTAGGTCAAATTTGATCGACTCGATGTTGATCTCCATGTGGTGATAGAAAGTGAGGAGCTCAACACCCACTGAGCTCAATATGATCCCAATTGTTTTTAATTTCCTAGTTAATGTTCTAAGTTCTAAGATCTCTAACCTGCCAAAAAAAATAAAATAAAAGAAGAAAAAGAAAGACGGTAAAGAATAAGTTTAAAATTATTAAGCACTTGAGAATTTTTACAAGTATGAATGTGACAACAGGAGTAAGGTTGATGATAGCTGTGGCAAACGTCGCAAACGTAAAACGTTTACGCAAAGAATAAATTAAAAAAAAAAAAAAAAAAAAAAAGACAGTAAAGAATAAATTTTAAGATTATTAAGCACCTGAGAATTTTTGCAAGTATGAATGTGACAACAGGAGTAAGGTTGATGATGGCTGTGGCAAATGTCGCAGACGTAAAACGCAAGCTCTCTAAGTACAAATTCTGATACATAGGACCCCTGAAATTAATAATAATTAGAAAATTTGTTAATTTGATGACAAACTACAGAAAGAAAGTAGTGTTGGCTAAATAATAAAAATAAACATTAGAATTTATATAAAACTGATTGTGAAAGTGTGCAAGTCTTATGGAGAGTTGCAAACCTATGTATGATTTTACTTACCCAAACAACCCACACATAAATATAAGGCATATCCGCTTCCATGTCAGATTGTGTCGGATTCCCCTGCAATATTTAGACATATATATCTATTTAAATGATAAAATTAAAAAAAAAAAAAAAAAAAAAAAAAAAAAACACCAACCAATTGCTACGACTTTTTTAAATTCCATATATTTGCGTTCAAAAACCTAGATATATATATATATGTCTGGGATACATGTTAGCTTTAATACTCTGCTAGATAATATTTATTGGATTCGCACAAAAAATCAATCAAGCATGGTAACATTACTCTCAACAAGGATCTAAACAGAGTTTTGAACATTTTTTTCCCAAAAACAGCAGAAAACAGAAGTAATAAAGCTCTCACAAAACAGAAACTAACAAACAAAATCTAACCAAAACAGAGACTCCTTATCCTCAAGCTTAAGCCCAATAGATAATAGTACACGCACCAGTAGCTATTGAGTAAACAGACTTTGCTTGACCCTCGCTCGTGTAATAATATGACATTCCTCTCCCTCCAAATGTTTCAAATAATGATCAAGTACATTGAATGAACTTTATGCATGTGAACCCTTTGCATATATACCAGAAAATCAGACCAAAACAACTCTCTTTCTCTCTCTCTTACAACCCAACTCTCTACACCAGTAGCTCACATGAAACCCCAAAACAACTTATCCAAAACAAAAGATTAAATCCTAATTAATTTCCAATTTTTGTTTATTATAAAGAAGGAGAAAGAGTATGGAAGTTAGCTAGAAACCAAACAAAGAAAGCAATTAAAAGGTTTCCAAATTTTTTTTATTATAAAGGAGGAAAAAGAGTGTCGAAGCTAGAAACCAAACAAACAAAGAAAGCAATTAAAATTGGGGTAGTGTACCATGATTTGTAAATGCCCAAAAGAGCTAGCAACATGGTTCCAAATATGAATCGGTATGCGGTGAGAACGGAAGTTGACATACCACTGGTAGTCGTGAGTTTGTTGAATATGTTGACAATCAAAGAAAATATCGTTGCAAGCAACATGAGAAGAACTGGGAACACCTTCGCCATTGAAGGCCGTTGTTGGACCTCCTAAGCTCTGTTTATACAACAACGTTCTCCTAAGAGGTGAAGACTTGTAGTAGTGCTAAGAGGTCACGTGCTAAGAGTTCACTACGAAGACTTGTATTAGTGCTAAGAGGTCACGACGTGCTAAGAGTTCACTACGAAGATGCTAAGAGGTCACGTGCTAAGAGTTCACTACGAAGACTTGTAGTAGTGCTAAGAGGTCACGTGCTAAGAGTTGAGGTCAGGTGGTAAGAGTTTTTTTTTTTTTTTTTTTTTTTTTTTTTTTTCGACCAAACAAAACCTTCACTACGAAGACTTGTGGTGGTGCTAAGAGGTCACGTGCTAAGAGTTGAGGTCAGGTGATAAGAGTTTTATTTATATTTTTTTTTTGACCAAAGCAACATGAGAAATAAAACAAAGAAAGCAAAAGCCACGTGCTAAGAGTTCACTAAAGACTTTTAGTATTGCTAAGAGGTCACGTGCTAAGAGGTCACTACTTGCTTCCCTCGCTATTCTCATCTCAACTATGAGCGCGAGTTAGGGACGAATGCAGAAAATAAGGTAAGGAAGGTAATAATAAAATTGTTTAGTAATTTTAGGGGGTCAATTGTGATATTTTAAGAGTATATAGTTGAAAAAGAGCAAATTAATAAGGTATATTAATAATAATAAAAAATACCCCCCCAGCTCTGAGGTGTAGTAGTGTAGATTTGGAAAATAAGGTGAGGAAGGTAATAATAAAATTGTTTAGTAATTTTAGGGGGCTCAATTGTGATATTTTAAAAGTATATAGTTGACAAAGAGTAAATTTGTGGGTCTGTGACAACAAACCAGATAAGTGACAACAAACTCCTGAATGTTCTCCTGTAAGACTTAAAAGTAATTAAGTTGTGGTGCTACTTAATTCATATATACTTAATAATTTTTCAATTAATAATCGATGTGGGACAAAACTCTTCTTAGAATAATAATAGATTAAATGAAAAAGTTGATCAACTTATCTAATTATTAAAATTAAAGAAATTAAGAATTTTAGAAGAGGTAGCGTTATTTTACCTACATCCTAACATCACCAAATAATGTATAAAGCCCAAACATAAACAATTCATCCTCATATATCAGCAAAAATTTTATATTTCAAATTTAAAAATTAAACTAACTTTCCGAGCTAAAATCTCATATGCAAAGAAGGTGCTATTATCTTATCAACGTTAACTAATTTTAAGTGTTAATTAAAATTTTGTGAACTATTTCTACCTTATTTACAATTCTTCAGTGGAGTATTTATTTCAACTTTAACTAATTTAAACGTACAGTGGAGAAAAAAAAAATTCACTTGTTACATTTGATGATAGATAAATTTGTTTCCGTTTCTTAATCATTTTTTTAAAAATTGATTGATTTTTTATTTTTTATTTTTCTTGCCAAATAATTATTAGAGTTGGTATAAAAATAATTGGACTAATTGATATTAAGAAAAAAATTGAATAATCAATAATTTAAATAAAAATTTTAATTTTAATTTAAAAATACTTTTAGAAGTAAGAGACCAATAATATTTTCTAAAAAATATTTTCAAAACTTTTTTCAAATACTGAAAAATAAAAAATAAAGAAAACATTTTATATGAAAAATTATTACATAGAAAACATTTTACAAGAAAAATATTTTACACTCAAACAAACAGAGCCTAAAAGAGGAAAAAAAAAAAAAATCAAATGTTCATCAAATGTTCATTTAATAAAAATTAATTTGGATCGAATCTAACAATAATCTTATCAAATTTGAATTACACTAACTCGACTCAAATTCAATTCGTTTTAACGGTCTAACACCATTGGAATATATCTAATTATCACTTGATGTGGCAAAACATGTGACCCCCACAATAGTGAAAATTGAGGTCTTCGATTATTTTATATCGATATAGTCATCTTCGGCAAGTAATCTCCTCCTTCCAAACGGTTCTAGAACCCAGAATACCAAATTGGTTTATGATGGTACCAAACTATGGAACCCCAGTCTGAGTGGTGCATGTTGCGCAAATATGGTGAATATATATAATTTAAAAAGAAAATCAATAGAAAAATAAATACATCACACATAAAGAATATAAAAATTTATATGTGATTCAACCTAAAATTTTCATTTAAGGTGAAAATCTGTCAAATAAAATTATTATACAAAATAAGAGATTATAAATTTCAACCTCTTAAATCCTCCTATCTCCCACTCTTTTCCTCCTATTACAAAAGTGTTCTAAAATTGAGTTCACAACCTTTAAAAAAAAAATTTTTGAATTACAACTGGAACAAAATTCAGATCGCAAATTTACAGTGCTTGTGACAGATTATTTTTTTTGTTGACAAAATTGCCCAAGAGAATGAGCTCTTGTTATGTATAATGCTTATAGTGAAGACATTTTATCAAAATAAAAACACGCATATGGTGGATACAAAATCTAACAAAAGGACGACCACTTGTCAAATTGGTACAACATTCTCTAGAAGGCTGAATAATGTTTCGTACTCGTGTTTTATGGGGATAACAAAAACGACATTAAATGAATTTCGTACTCGTGTTTTTTTTTTTTTTTTTTTTTTCTGCTAATATTTTTTTATTATATGTATAAGTGTGTGTATTTATATATATATACATATATATTTTTTTTCTATACTCTCTATACTTTTCAATTACTCTATATTTGTTGGATATATCTTTCAAATTTAACCTTAATAATAAAATACCAAATCAAAATACAATTATAAAAAGTTTTAAGTGAATTATGTAAGCTAGGATTCTTATTGATGAGAAAGAGGTAATTCATTCATGGTAAAAAATTAGTACTTTTAGTTTTAATTATTTGACGATGGAAAATGATTCTTGTACCGATTTGTTACAATAAATTGCTATACCCATTTATTTTAATTGGGCAATAAATAAGAGAGTGAAATCTTCCACTTACTTTTAAAACACACAAAAAACTAAATAAGCTGACAAATAAGCAGCCACCTAATACAAGTTAAAATCACAAATTAAAATTTGTGAAGTATAGCATTTTTCTTAAATTAATCATTTAACATATGACCAAATTAGCTACATAGTCGTATTAATCTATCCATCCATGTAAAATATTTTCTTCTTAAAATATTATTTTTTCAAGTAAAATAATTTTTTGTTTTTTTTTTGGTATTTGGTAAAGGTTTAGGTTAAGGTTGATGTTGAATTTATCGAGTGGGACGTGTAAAATAGATTTTCGAAAATTGATGAATAACTTTTTTGTTAGGTTTAAAAAAAAATTCGTAAACATTTTAAGACAACCAAAAAATACAACAAAAAATATTTTACGCTCAATTAGATGGAGCCTAAGTGTTTTTGTAATTAATGTTGAAGCTGATGTTAATATAAATTATGATTGTTTTATTTTATTTTATGATTTCCTAGCAAAAGATCACATGCAAATGCATATTAATAAGATTATAATAAATTATAAAAAATAAAAAAAATAAAAAATTATTTGATCAGGTTAAGAAAATTTTGATAAACTATAATTTATTTAATTTAATACTTTTCAATGTGAAGCAAGGAATATGAAAATATATCTTCATATGTCATATATATCACAAATGAGCTTCTATTTTTAATTTACATTTTTGTTACTTGGATAAATATTTTTATTTTATTTTATCACACTTCTATCTATAATCATTCTCCGTAGAAATCTCTCAATATCTTAATAGAGCTATTCTCATATATTTTTAAGTTCAAATATTTTAAGTGATCATCATGCCAAGCAAAATATATCTTATTTCGCTTCTTGGGCTTTAAACTCAAAACTATGTATATTAAGATATACTCAAAAATATAGATTCTAATCAAATATATGTATAATTATTATTTTGTAATTCACATGGATCAAGCACAAAAGGAATAACCTTCTAGCATTTTGCATTGTAAGAAAGAAGACACTTCTTCTTTCTATAGCATTATAACATTTTTGTTAAGACCTTCATTCAAGTTTCTCGACATGAACGAACTTTTAAAAAATAAATACATTGGAGAAAAAAAAAAAAAAAAAATAGCAATCCAAAACTCACAGAAATAAGTTGATATACAAATATCGTCTAAATTTTCCAAGAAACGGGACCAAGGAATATTAAACAAAAATGTTTTAAAAATTGAATTAACAAATGCAAATCAAATGAAAACCAAAATAATTGAAAGCTCTGGATAACATGAACAACCAAACTCAAGTCCTCATTAGGAAAAATAAAAGAGTATATGTAATACAAAGGAAAAATACAACAAAATACTAATATTCAAATAAGTACTTCAACACGAGTACAAGAAAACTCAGTAATTGTTAATTTGTTGAATTAAACCTAACAATCCTTTAATCATTATTACGCCTAATATTAAAACAATTCAATATGAATTCATCGCTATTAGTTAAACTGAGTAAAGGATTCAAAACAAGCAAATAACTTAACCAACGTAATTGATGCTCTGGATTTGTTGCACATGAATTCTCATCCTCACTGTCAAAGCTAATTGAAGAAAAATGCTCCTTGATATTACTTCTTCTTGTGATCCCTACTTGTAATGCTCTTGTTGACCTCTAATCTTGGTGCTCCTTCAATATTGGAGCTTGACCTTATAATTTTTACCTCTATTTATATAATAGACCTTTATGTTATTGTTCAAAATTTTAAGAGACATCAAATACTTTTAAAGGTTGAAAATAAAAAAGAGTTACAAAAGTTTTGTATTAAACATAAAAATAATAAACTTTTAATGAAATTTAAGGTTGAAAATTCCAAGACGTTATCCACGTTTTGTAGTCCACTTTTAATGACATTTTTTTAGGGTAAAAATTTCGAAGGTTATCAATCATTAAAAAAATGAAATAAAATTCAAATAATTAATGTCTACTAATACTTTTTAATGAAATTGGATTTAATTTAAAGTGAAAAAAAAAAGAGTTAAGAAATACCTTGGTTGGA